AAAGAAAAAATAAACAAATGGGATTATATCAAACTAAAAAGCTTCTTCACAGCAAAGGAAGTAATCAACAGATTGGAAAGACAACCCACAGAATGGGAGAAAATGTTTGCAAACTATGTACCTGGCCAGGAATTAATACCCAGAATATAACTCAAACAAATTAACAGTAAAAAACACAATCCGATTAAAAAATGGGCAAAGTAGCTAAATAAACATGTCTCAAAGGAAGACATATAAATGGCTAATAGATACATGAAAAAATGCTCAACATCACTAATCATCAGGGAAATGCAAATCAAAACTACATTGAGATATCATCTCACCCCAGTTAGACTAGATAATATCAAAAAGACAGAATGACAAGTGCTGGTGAAGATATGTAGAAGGGGGAACCCTTCTGCACTGTTGATAGGACTGTAAATTAGTACAGCCGTTATAGAAAACAGTTGGAGGTTTCTCAGACAACCACAGGTAGAACTACTATATGATCCATCAATCCCACTACTTATATACCCAAAGGAATAGAAATCATCATGTTGAATGTAAACCTGCACTCCCATATTATTGCAGCTCTATTTATAATCGCTAAGATATGGAACTAACCTTAATGACCATCCACAGATAACTGAATAAAGAAAAATGGTATATATACACAGTGGAATACTACTCAGTCATAAAAAAGAATGAAGTCTGTCATTTGCAGCAGCATGGATGAGCTTGGAGAAAATTATGTTAAGTGAAATAAGCCAGACACGGAAAGAAAAATACTGCATGTCCTCTATTATAAGTGGGAGCTAAAAAATAAAGAACAGATGAAAGAAACAAACAACAAACACAATACTATGCTGAACTTTGAGAAGGAGAGAACAGAACTGTGGTTACTAAAAGGGGGAAGGGGAGGAGGAGGAGACTTAGGGAGAAATTGGTTAATGGACACAAGAATGCTTACTTTTCTTTTTTTTTTTTTTAGCAACTGGCCAGTGTGGATGAGTACATTTTGTAATGATGAATATGCTAACTATCCTGATTTGATCATGACATACTATACACAAATGCTAATAGTCAACTCTGTACCCCACAAATATCTACAAATATGTATAATCAATTATGTTTCAGTAAAAAATTTAAAAAGTCATGTCTGTGTAACTAAGTCTTCATAAAAACCCAAGATGACCAGGAAGGGGATCCTAACCCTTGACTTGGTGTTGTCAGCACCACACTCTCCCAATTGAGCCAACCGGCCATTCCTATACAGGGATCCGAACCCGTGGCCTTGGTGTTATCAGCACCGCACTCTCCCAAGTGAGCCACGGGCCGGCCCCATCTGTATCCTTTCTAATAGCCTTTATAATAACCAGGAAATATAAGTGCCTGTTTCCTTGAGTTCTGTGAGCCGCTCAGCAAATTGATCAAACCCAAGGGAGGGAGTTGTGGGAACCCCAGTTTATAGCCAGTCCATCAGAAGCCCAGCTAAAACAACCTGTAGCT